CCAGACGTTCATTCAATTGCATTGTTAAAACCTGTTAGCGTGATGCAGTGCGACACCATCTTATCCTCGAGTTTCATTTGTGCAAGTACTCGAGGGTGGATAATGCACGTGCTGCTCCCATCGTCCATCATAATGAGTCTTACATTTGTATCTAATATTTGCAAATTGATAACAAGGGCATCATAGTGAGGTAAAACCAAACCGTGGGTATCTGAATTATTGAAGATGGTACTTTCTTCAAGTTCGTCATACCATTCATGAGTGATCGACCGTTTGAGCTTGTGGGTTGTGGTAAATTTTAAGATGTCACCACTGCCGCCCATGATCATTTGAATGGTGCGAGTCCGTAAGGGTGGTTTCGACAGTCCCTTGTGTTGTTCAGGTCCTGGGGCAAAGTTGGTCCTCCCTCGGTCGCTCAACAATTCTTTGAGGTGTCTTTGGTGAAGCATGTTTACGACCTCCTGCATTAGAGCGATGCAATCCTCAGTTTTGTGACCTTGCTCTTGGTGGAACTCGCAGAAGGCATTTGACTCTCTGGTGCTTGGGTCTGACCTCATCTTTTGTGGCTACTTCACTTTTGGTTCGAGCTTCTCCAATGCGTAGACTATTTCTGAAGGCGACACACAAGAATTGTGAGCAGATAATAAAGGTGGAATATCTCTCTCGTTCTGGTAAGTCCCTGTGCTTGGTCTAGATGGGCCCTCTTCGTGGCGGAAGGGAGTCATGATGGCGTTTCTGATATACGGCTGATGCCTTTCTCAGTTGGGTTGTGGAGCTGGAAGATCTCTCCTGGCATCATTTCTTCTATCCTTCCTAGATTCAACCTATACCGAGGTCAATCGATGGGTAGGCCCATTCAAGTCGTCTTCATCAGCACGTACCTCGACATAGTAGGCATTGTGTATTTCATCCCAACTAGTTGGAGGATATTTCATAAGCTGACTTAATAGTTTTTTGTCATCATCAAGTCGTTCCTATTCAATCCGTTTTGGAAAGCTTCTACGGCTATTCCTTTTGATACATTTGGTAGAATAATTCTTACTCGGTTGAATACAACGAGGAACTCCCTCAATCCCTCTCCGGTTGACTGTTTGATGGTGAATATGTCGTTGACTTTTGCCTCTGCCTTTTTGGACCCAGCATGGGCCATCACAAACTTGTCGTCCATCTCTTCAAATGTTTCAATGGATCACGCGGGTAGTTGTGAATACCAAGTTAATGCTTCTCCAGTGAGGGTCTCGTCAAACTTTTTCAGCAAGATGAAGGCCACTTGTTCTTTAGCGAGGTCATTACCTTTTACAACGGTGCCATGGTGAGTCACGTTATCTTCGGGATTGGTTGTGTTTTCATATATTTTCAAATAGGGCGGCATTTTGAAGGTCTTTGGTATGACATACGGGACGGCTTCATCACTGTATGGTTGCTCAACCCGACCAGAATCTCTTTTTGGCAAGAATTTTTGGGCACCCGGTATTTTATCGACTCTTTCTTGGTGCTCTCTCATTTGGTCCCTAAGCATTTTGTTTTTATTTTTATTTCTTCCATCTTCCTCATAATGGCTGTGAGGGTGTCGTCACCTGCAATATTAACATTGTGAGTGATACCTGTTTCTGGAGGGAGAGGGTCATTCTGCTTGGCCATTGTCGGTGCAATACAAATCCTTGCGTTTTCTCTAGCTGCCTCATAGGCGGGCTTGTCGAGGATGCTGGTTAGCGTGTTTGTCAGCCAAGCCTCAAGTAGTTTTTTCACTGCTGGTGGCGCCTCTTCCGTCATGGACATGGAAGCTCTTTTACTGCGGGACGTGGTGATACTGCCGTGAGGAGGGGCGACCCACCTCGCCTTCTGCTTCAGAAACCTCATTGATGGTGTTCAAGAGATTGATAGTGACATCGACCACTGCCTTGATTCTTTCTCTCTATTACTTGCCATGTCAGATCTATGTGTACAAGGAAATCGGGGTTTTGCCCCTTTTTGTGAACTGTTCTATTTATAGATCTAGAAGAAACAAAAAATTTAACTAGGAAATCCCGGAGATGGCGCCAAATTATTTGACCAAAAACGTAAATCTTGGGCTAAACTAATTATTTTTATATAAGGGTTAAACCTAATTAATAATAATATCCCTAGACTTATAATCGATTAACAAAAATAACGTAGAACAATTTTGATGGGGATTAAATGCAATGTGCATTCAATATTCCAAACGATTTGAGTAATAAGAGATAAATATCAAGTAGTAAATAACAATAAATGGCGTTAACAATAAATGGCGTTAACGTAAATAAATGATTCACCCAATATTGAATGAGGTGGATGATTCTTCTTTCTGATAGTGATGAATGACATACAAATCCTAGAATGTTGGATATATTCTCGGATCTGGTGGAAAAGTATTGAATAATGGATGATAGAATCTTAATGAAAAGGTAATGTTTGTATCTTTTCTAGAGAGAGATTTTTCTTCTAAAAAAATGTTCTTATCAAAATGAATATTACATGCCTTTCTCCTCATCTCTTTTTCTATTTATATGGGACATACTCGCGGTCAACCCTAAAAGTACAAGCACAAAGAATATTCAACTGAATATTCTCCCAAATATCCTATTACAAAAACTAGCCGGTGATACCGCCCTAGATACTTGACCTCGGTCGTTATTGACTACCCGGCCATGAGCCCCACTATTTACTACTCAACCTGCTCGCATAAACTTCTCAACCATAATAGAGTCCGCTCATCGAGGTCGTCCAGGGTCGACCTCAATAAGCAGAGGGACTAACTGTATAAGTCAAAATTCGCCTCAAGGAGATTAAGCATGAAATGGTATTACAAAAAGTGATGCGGCCGAGGTCGACTAGTAAATAGTGGGGCTCATGGCCGGGTAGTCAATAACGGCCGAGGTCAAATATCAAGGGCAATATCAACGACTAGTTTTTATAAAATGATATTTGGGAGAATATTCCATTGAATATTCTATGTACTTGTACTTTTAGGGTTGATTGAGGGTATGTCCCATATAAATAGAAAAAGGAATAAGGGGAAACACATGTAATATTCATTTTAATAAGAACACTTTTTGAGAAGAAGACTTTTTCTCTAGAAACGATACAAACATTATCTTTTCATTAAGATTCTTTCATCCATTATTCAATATGTTTCCACCAGATCCGAGAATATATCCAATATTCTAGGATTTGTCCGTCATTCATCACTGTCAGAAAGAAGAATCATCCACCTCATTCAATATTGGGTGAATTATTCTCTTTATTTACGTTAATGCCATTTATTGTTATTTACAACTTGATATTTATCTCTCATTATTCAAACCGTTTGGAATATTAAATGCACACTGCATTTAATCCCCACCAACACTGTTCTACATTATTTGTGTTAACTGATTATAAGTCTAGGGATATTATCATTAACTAGGTTTAACCCTTCATTACATAAAAATAATTAGTTTAGCCCAAGATTTATATTTTTTGATCAAACAATAATGCCTTTATTTGGGAAGTAGGCCCGGGGAAATTGAAAGTAAATAGAGAAAAAAATTAGAAGGGAAAATATAATAAAAAATTATTGGTCCCAAAATGCCAGTATTTCGGGATATCTTATATGTCTCTCCAAGAAAATAGATATCTCCGGAAAGGATTTTAAGTTCAATTCATTTTTTTTTCTCTCCACCTGGACCAACTCACCGACTCAGCTTCTTAGATTTAAGGTGATTTGTGTATCTACCCTAACGATACTATTGTTCCGTACTATTATGGAAGGATATCCGAGCAAGATATGCACCTCTTCATGAATGAATTTTTTTTATCTACTTTTATTTGGTATTTTGGCCTAGGTGGAAAGGAAGGTGGGATATGTACAATGTCGGAGTCAAAATTTTCACTAAGGAATGTCAAAATATAAGAAACTAAATACATAAAAATCAAGGAGAGTCAACGTATAGTAAATATACATAAGATTAAAAAAATTATCTAACGATACAATATAATTTTCTAGCGAAACCCCTTGGTTAAATGGGGCTCCACCACTGAATATGTACACTCAATAACAAAACTTGATTGTTTTCTGATTATCTATATGTACATAATAACTTAATAATAATAATTGTTATTATATCCACAAAATTTAATGAAAATATTAATTATGTGGTATTTTATAAATTATTTATTTATTTATGAATCACATTTAAAAGCTCGTGACAGCTAACAGCAATAGTGATAGGCAATGATGATTGTACAACTTTGGCTAGTGATATTAATCGCGGTTGGCAAAGAAAATGGGAATGGTAATTGAGCAATAATAATTAGTGGTGGCATCCAGAAGGTGATGGATGCACAGTAGAGGTGATTCGGTGAAGGTTAGCGGTGTTGTGACTAGTGGCGGATATGAAACGTGGAGGCAAGCGGCGGTTGGGGAAGTATTTTTTAAAAAAATTCAACCGAAAAGGTTTTCTTTGAGAACAACCCTCAAAACCTTTCTTCAAAAAATATTATTTAAAAAAAAATTATAAAATTGAAAAGACGCATTTATCGCAAAAATATTTTCAACATCTCTAAAAGATTTCTACGAAGAAAATACCACCTAAATAACTCTATAATCTGCCGTTCAAATAATGCTGTTTAAACTTTAAACCGATCGATGGGTTTTATTTAAACTCTAATACTGCAGCCAGTCGACGTCGTTTTAGGGACACTGTCTCTTTCTTCTTAACAAAAAAAAAACATTTTGGCGCCCCTTGCCTATTCCCCTCGATCCCTGTTTGCCTTTGTTTCCGTCCAATTTCCAAAACGGGGGCCCCAAAATTTTGCAGTTTCCAAAGTTCTCTTTCTTCTCGTTTGTTAATTGTATATATCTCTCGAGAACTCTTGCACACGCTCCCCCCCCCCCCCCC